ATGGTATGGACCTGCCCATCCTACAATGATCCAAGTAGAAACGTAGAATCCTGGGAGGCCTTATTATACAATCGTGACGCCGAAGAACAGCGTCAAGTCATCGGTCTCGCCCTGACCGTTGCCGAGTCCCAAGGGATTCCGGCCGATGGCTACGGGGATGATTGGGGGCAGAGGCCGAGGCCTCCTCCCCTGTCATTCTAGACGAGTGAAATAAACGTTATTTCTCTCTCTCTCTCTTTTTCAAGAACTTTGGCCTGAGGAATGCTGGACAAACATTTCAACGCTTCATTGACGAAGTCGTCCGCGGCATCGACTTCTGGTTAATCTATTTTGACATCATATTGGTCTTTACCCGTAACGCCAAAGAACATCACAGGCACCTTCATCGACTCTTCTGATGCCTCGATGACCATGGCCAACTCGCTGACGTCCAAAGTAGCATGCTTGGAACTTCCACGGTCCATGTCCTCGGCCATGAAGTTTCGTCAGAGGGAACTCAACCCTTGCTTCAAGGCATCGCACACTTGCGGACATACTCTCGACCCACCCCAGCTAAAAATCTATGCCGTTTTCTCTCCATGTTGAACTTTTACAAGCATTTCCTGCTTCACGCTGCTGTCTACCAAGCCCTCCTCTCCAATGTTTAGCTGACCTACAACGAAACCAGTTCATCCTGTGGACATCGAGTTTAGGGAAAATGTTCAAGCAATGCAAAGCTGCTCTCTGTACCACTATGCTTCTCGCTCAACCAGTGTCAGATACTCCCTTGGGACTCTTCACGGACGCTTCTAACTTTGCTGTCAGCGCTGCCCTCATGCAATGCGTAGGCAACACCTTGACATTTTTCTCCAAGAAACTTTCAGCTCAGAAAACCTCTCCTACGACCAATTTCTTCGACAGAACTATGGCCCCTGCTTTGATGAGTTCGCCAGCTCACTACCAAGAACTTCTCGCTATTTACGATAAATATTTTTGCCACATCCTCGAAGCACAGCTCTGCACCATCTATACTGACCACAAGCATCTAACCTACGCCTTCTCTCAGTGCCGCAACAAACTTCTGCCAGTCCAGCAAGACCCGTTCTAGTTCATAGCGCAGTTTACACCCAACATTAAACATATCAGTGGGAAAGAGAACGTGGTCGCTGATGCATTTTCTCATGTGGCAACTGACACCTCTTCACAGATAACAGCTGACAGCCTCAACAAGGCTTTGACTAAGCATTAAAGTCAGGCTCAGACTAACTTTAAAGGGACACTAAAGACAATTATTAAGTCTATGTTGATTGTTTAAACAGTGGTCCAGAAGCCTCGTAGTGCTACTTTTGTGCCAAAAAACTGCTTACTTTGAAATAAAGTGATGTTTTAACGAACCGCATCATGTTAACGTCCTTCAAATCGCGTACCTGAAAGTAGTCATTCTGACATCACAGTCGCTGTGCACAACTTTGCTCACCTTTACTGTACAGCCACTGACAGTATCAGCAGCAGAGCAAAAGTAGCGGGAGACACTGCAGCTATAACGGCCATTGAACAATTTTCTGCTTGCTTGGTTCAACAGGGTCCAGCTAGATAGCACCATCTATCAAGCCTAACGAGGCCAAAAACAGAGGTTTTGAACCACTCGCACCCTTCCCTAAAGAAATGCCAGGTGGTTGTTTTTTTCTATGAATCAAAGAGAAATGGACAGGCAGTATTTTATTACACGTTGTAATGCAAAGAAGGTTGTTTTTTATTGGAGCTGCTTCGATTACAGTGATTAATTGCAGTCCCATGCTCTCACGTCAGTGGAATCATTTAAAAAATGTCCCACTTGTGGCACATGTGGCATCGTACACTTACCTCATTTCTCGATTAGTAGAGCACTGCTGTTGATAATATAGACATTTCAGATATTCCTAAACATTGATCTTTAACTCTGACATAAATTGTTATTACTGCCTTGCTACAGTTGCAGTAGGTTCGCTGCACAATCTGAACCATCTAGGCATACATGCTTTTACACACCTCGTGGCTGACCATATCTATGGCCCTCCATGCAGCGGGATCGCTGCACCTGGGCGCACTTCTACATTAAATGCCAACATGCTAAAGTCACCAAGCACCAGCATTCTCTTCACCCTCCAGTTAGTTTCAGCACATTCAGCACGACATTATAGAACCCTTCCTTTGGCTAGACCTTATTTGTATTGTCTCACTGCCATTGATTGGTATATTTAGTGATGGCCCCTCAAAAGAATCATCGCAAAAGTAGCTACCTTGGCCTTCTGCACCGGCTGGATTGCCCATTTCAGTGTCCCTCACCACACCAACACCGACAAGGACGACAGCTCGAATCGCACCTTTTCAGGCACCATGGGCTGACCACCGTGTGTGAGAGTTTGAGGACCAACAGTTACCACCCCTGTGCCAACAGGAGTATCGAGCACTTCCACTGATAGTTCAAAGCAGCCATCATGTGTGTGGGGGGCACGTGTGCCCGGGCACCCTTTTACGGCAGCGCGGAACCCTAGTAACAAGGACATGACTGTCCCTTTGAGACACGAGTCAATAAAGCCTCTTGTGAAGGAATGGAGCAACCCCACGGCCGGCGCTCGCGATTCCCCTTTCCTGGAGCACGGAACGGGTTTCTCCTCCCTCAGCAAGGAAGCGTATTCTCGTCAGGGAAGGGGAAACCGGGATGGTGAAGAAAACCAGCGTGCGACAGTCGAACCCTCTCTCTGGCACCTGCCGCAGACCAAGAAGGACAAACCCGGAACCCCCTGTGAGCCAAGAACGACAACGACTGAGGTGTAAGCGTCTACACTTTTGTTATCTTAAGTCCCTCTATGCGACAATTGTGCATTATTGCTAACAAATAGCAATAAAGCGTTGTTTGTTGACCTAGCCTGTTGCCTTATTCGCCCAAACCTGTGTAGCTGCAATGACTCAAGCTATGGGGGACGTTAATCGTGCACGGTACAACTGTGTGCGGTTGGAACATTAGCTAGGCATCTGCGTCAGCCGTACATAGGAAGGGCCCCCTACATGTGCCACCCAGACTGAACCTGGCTGAAAGCCATCCCAGCTGTCATCTTAGGTCCTCGCACCACATTCAAGCCAGACGTTGGGCCTACACTTGCACAGCTCGTCTATGGGGAATCACTACATCTCCCAGGCAATCTTCACGCTGCACTGCCATTAAACACTACTGACGCCAGATCCCACCGTCTCCGTTGCCCGGCTCCGATGCATTATTGCCACCCTCCAACCACCGCTCGCCGCACACCACTGTAAGCCTGCACCTTTCAGGAGCTAGCAACATGTATGCACACTTTTTTTCAGCAATGACGCTGTCCGCAGGCCTCTCCGGCCACTCTACAGCGGACCTCACCTAGTCGTCGATTGCAACAGAAAAACTTAACCCCGTATGTGTACGATAACGATGTTCACATTTCAATTGACCAGATAAAGCCAGCTTACATTGCTTCGACGAACTGGGAAGTTCCAGTCTATCCACAGGTGTCTATTCGCACTGCTGTCATAGCCCACTTGTGTCACAACACGCTTTGGACATCTATTACGCTTCCCAGCTTTCTGCAAGCCTTGAGGGCTCTCCACTTCATGGTGTGTACGAAATTGAGACATACTCTGCACATAAATTGGCGCAGTCTCTGCCTTGTCATCTGCTAGCCTGGTGAGACACTCCTGCACGCGGCATCTTTTCGATAAGTGACAGCGCCACTGCAACATGACTCAAGGATTGTGTCACCGAAGGCGGCTACAAAACCACACTAGAAGGCTCTCATTATTGATCTGCTACCTCTATGAACGTAGTGTCAGAATGTGCATCCAATGCTGAAGCTAGATGAGTAAACAAGCTGTTATGTTTTAATGTACGGATCCTTCTTGTCGACATGACATTCCACAATGAATTAAAAGCTAAAGCTAGGCAGATTGTGGAAGCCTTTTTCATAACAATGAATATTAAAAGTTGAAACATTTGCATGCCCAAATCTTCATTTGTGTTAACACATCACTTAATGTGAGCAGCAGTGCTAACGTGGTAGCCACATGGCTGTACAGCTACATTTTAATACATAGCATCGTGCTTCGGCACCTAAACCGGGAACACCACATGCGAACTCTTTGCTCATGCTGTTAAGTATCATGCGGATTAGCACTTCCGTTTGTATAACCAAGCCCGCCAAGTATGAATATTTTAAAATGGTGACCGAAAATGTTTTTGCAGTGGATTACCAAAATTATATTGAAGAAAACCACTGAAACAAACAGGCAGCGATTGTCAAATGAAGAAAAAACAGCCAACCACTCGAACACCCAGCACTATTCTGGTTTAACCTATGGTGAAGCACCTGTAATGAAAATCAGTGCCAATCAGTTGTCATTCCTGCTCACAAGTGAAATGGTATGTACAGAAGAATAAACTATGCCAGCAGGCCAAAACATATTGGCACTAGTGTGTCTTATGAGTGGCTGTGTTCGTTGTTGGGAAAAATTGTGTTGTGAGTAAAAAACATGAGCCACTTGCTGCACAAAGAGGGGGATGTAAAGGGAGCCAGTTGGTGTGTTCCAGAGTGGAAAAATACTCAATAGTGTACGCTACGTCCCCAAGCACCTCACTATCTTGTGACATGCAACCCAAGCTTCAGTCAGAAACTGAGAAAGGAGTCGAGGACTGTTTGCAAGGCACCATTCCAACTTTGATTTTTGGACACCCTACACCAAGTTCTACTGAGCCTAATAGGTTTATGCAATCCTTTTATCATCAACTTGAGTTCAGCAGAGCTGAACTCACGTTGATGATAACTGGGCTGCTTGGCACATGATTAGGACTGAAACAAACAAAACTGGAGATGGTATGGCGCCGATTGTCAGTCGCTCTTTCATTGTCCTGTGTTCAGCAAGTACTTGCTCCCGCCTGTATCTGAGTGCAGACACTAGCAGCTTACTGCTTTACAGCCATCGTATTTAGAAAGTGAAGCTTCCTGGTGACTCACAAGGTGACACCCGATGACCAAACATCCACTTTGAAGCCGGAAAAGGAGTCGTGGCCATTGGCAATCTCCGGCGGCTGGAAGGCAGGAGAACCCTGGCTTGTGTGGCAGGTGTCGTCCACAGCGAAGCGATCTAGTGCCTGCATATTGTCATGCAAAAACTGGGCACTCCGTAGTTTTGTGTTTAGTAAAGTAGATTCTGGCTAAATCAAGCAGACAATCAATCTTCTAATGCCCCACAGAAACTAAATTCGTATATGACTTGTGATTCTCTCTGGTTATAACAGAGCCATGCAGTGTTTCCATATAAAAGTCTGTTGTAACGGTACTTAGATTTCACATACTCCTTTTACAACACACCAAAATCCTCTTCACTGTGGAGGTCTGTTGTAATGAGGTTACACAGTGTCTAAGTGTTACCAACTTTGTTATACCAAGTTTTGATGGACATGTAAGCTCTAAAGAACCGTGCTAACAAACACATAAGTGTTCATTAACAATTTTTGGCATGAACCTTCTAGGCTTGTTCGTCGGCACTGTGTGCCTTAGCCATTGCCGAGGATGATGCCAATGACTATGAAGAACAAGCACATTCCAGACCACACATTTTCTTTCTGCCATTACGGCACAGCACATCCAAGGTGGGAACTATACAGTGGCGTACCAACTCTCTCGCGAGTGAGGGGGGGGGGGGGACAAACCTACCTCACCTTGTTCACCATGATATATATGAATGAATGAATGATCTTTATTGCACTCCTATTTTATACAAAATAAGCACAAACTGTATGGTCCCATAGCCAAAGGCTAGTGCGGGTCCTATTGAAAGTATACATAACTGAAACTGTAATAGTTCTGATTAAAAATAAACAGAAGTAAACAATAGCCAAAGGCTAGTGCGGGTCCTATTGAAATTATACATAACTGAAACTGTAATAGTTCTAATTAAAACTAAACAGAAGTAAACAATTCAAATTTGATATCATCATAAAAGAAGTAATGTTTATCTGCTAACAACAGTCACTTGAATTCGATTGAACATAGAAGAAAGGGAAAGTACATAACTTGTAGTAAACATAAATATTTGGTCATTAGTGGCGTACAGAACTGAAGCAAATATATATATATATTGTGAGCGCTGACTATGTACTTCATCTTCATCTGTATGACCGAACCATTGTAGTGATCATCATCGTATGTCACGCGGGCTGGCTCTCTGGCTCGTGCGTCTGGATTAAAAAAGAGAACCTGGTTGCTGCCGCACCGGACGTGGTCTCATAAGTGGTGGAGCGTGCTTTGGTTTCCACGTCCTCCTGCTCTACCCGTCACCCCTGGAGCTCCGGTCTGGTCGACGGTTGTGCCCTCAAGCAACAGCGATGGCAGAACCCAACGCGTTCGCTGCTGCAACCGCTCCTTCTCAGCCACTTAGGCTTCACTACACCGTGAGTACCTCTCATCGAGACCCTCCGGTATTTTCCGGCCTTCGCAACGAAGACGTCGAAGAATGGCTGGACAGTTATGATCGAACCAGCGTTTGTAATTATTGGGACGAGGCGCACAAACTGCGCTACATTCCTTTTTACCTCGATGGCGTCGCTAAAACCTGGTATTACAACCACGAAAGCGACAACGCCACGCAACGCCATGACAACGCAAGCGCCAAGGCCACGCCACTATTCTACATGGCGTCCTCCTCGCCCCATCTGCTTCTACTGTGGCATAAAGGGTCATATATCCCGTTTCTGCCGCCGCTGTCAGCAGGATGAACGACGTGGTTACTCAGGTTACGAGAGAGACTTTGCCCCGAGACCCGATGAATACGATCCCGCACCGTATCCATCCACCTTCCGTCAGTCGCCCTCCCCTCCACGGTCTTATGCTGGGCCTCATCTTTCTCGTTCATCTCGCCTGCCGTTCTCCGTCACCGTTTCAGCGTACGTCATCACCCTTGCGTCCCGCTCCGATCTCACTGGACTCGGAAAACTAGAAGGTGCAGTTTTTGGAGGGGAAACTGCTTGTCGTCGGAACGCTACAACTCCTCCGTCTCGTCCAGCTAATTTACTGCCTGTTTCTGTGGAAGGTGTTTTTGTTGACGCCCTTATAGACACTGGCGCCGCAATTTCGGTAATTGATCGTGAATTGTGTTTTCGCCTGCGTAAAGTGCAAACTCCTTATGCCGGTCCCATGTTATGCGGTGCTAATGACAGTCCAATTCGCCCGACCGGGTTGTGCACTGCTCGTATTCTCATCGATGGAATTCGTGATCACATACAATTGGCTGTGCTGTCTTCGTGCGCTCATCAGATAATCTTAGGATGGGACTTCTTGTCAGCGGCGTCTGCTGTAATTTCGTGAGGTCGGCCCCTCATTCGTATTACGGACACTGAGCTTTCTTTTGCTGCCGACCTTTCGTCGCCCAACCTTGTGACAGCTGCGGATTTCCTCCTGCCTGCCTCCCGAACGAGAACGTGTCCTTACGATCAAGTCACGAGACATTCTAGATGGTGACGCTGTGATTGCTCCTTGCCAGCGCTGCATTTTTCGAGGGATCACCATCGCATCTTGTTTAGTGCGGTTCTCCCGTGGTTATGCATGCATCGCGGCCTGCAACACGACGCCAGAACCACTTCTTTTGCCTGAGGGGACCACTGTTGCCAGCATTACCGAAGAAGCACCGCTTTGTGTCATTACTGGTTCATCTGCTTCGTCATTCTCAAAGTGTATGCCAGCGGAAGATGCATTTCCTGCTCTCAAGGCCACTTTGTGTGAACATCTCAACCCAACGCAAACTGATGCCTTGCTAGCGTTATTAATGAAGCACAAAACTTGCTTTGACGTTTGTTCCGAAGGTCTGGGTCAAACAACAGTGACCGCCCATTGTATCGACACCGACGGATCCCGTGTGATTCGACGCCGCCCTTACCGTGTGTCGGCTTCTGAACGCAAGCTTATAGAAGAACAAGTCAACGACATGCTCGCGCGCAACGTCATCAGGCCTTCAACAAGCGCATGGTCTTCTCCTGTCGTACTAGTGAAAAAAAAGGATGGCTCGGTACGGTTTTGCATTGATTACAGATCACTCAACAAAATCACTCGTAAGGACGTCTACCCAATGCCTCGCATTAACGACGCTCTTGATATTTTACAAGGTGCCGAGTACTTTTCAAGTCTCGACTTGCGCTCCGGTTATTGGCAGATTCCAATGCACGAGTCTGATAAAGAGAAGACTACGTTTGCTACGCCAGATGGACTCTTTGAATTCAATGTAATGCCTTTCGGCCTGTGCAATGCCCCAGCCACATTCGAACGGATGATAGACACGATACTGCGGGGATTAAAATGGAAGACCTGCCTTTGCTACCTGGACGACATTGTCATCTTTTCGTCGAGCTTCTCACAGCACCTGGAACGGCTAGACGAAGTCCTCACGTGTTTAGCTAAGGCCAGTCTCCAGCTCAACACTAAGAAGTGTCGGTTTGCCAGTCACAGCGTCAAGGTATTAGGTCACGTCGTCAGTGAACATGGCGTTGAGCCCGATCCCGACAAGGTTGCCGCGGTACTGCACTTTCCTACACCAACCACACAGAAAGACCTCCGCAGCTTCCTTGGCTTAGCGTCGTATTTCCGCCGCTTTGTACGTGATTTGGCTACTATTGCGGCCCCTCTGCACAAACTTCTGACCACGAGCGCACCCTTTGTCTGGTCGGATGACTGCGAAGCCGCTTTTCACACCCTCAAGCGATGCCTCACATCACCGCCAGTGCTTCGCCATTTCGACCCTGCAGCACCTACTATGCTACACACTGACGCAAGTGGACTTGGCATCGGTGCTGTCCTTCTTCAGCGAAATCGCGCTTCCGAAGAACAAGTCGTGGCCTACGCGAGCCGTACTCTGTCACCTGCTGAGCGAAACTACAGCATCACTGAGCAAGAATGTCTCGCCATCCTGTGGTCCATACGAAAGTTTCGTCCTTACTTATACGGCCGGCATTTCACAATAGTGACTGACCATCAAGCTCTGTGTTGATTATCGTCTCTCAAAAATTTGTCGGGACGCCTTGGCCGTTGGGTACTACGATTGCAAGAGTATGACTACAGCGTCCCATATAGGTTGGGCCGAGAGCACCAAGATGCCGACGCTTTGTCGCGTTGCCCGCTCTCGCAAAGCGCCGAAGTGTCACCTTCCATCTGTTCGTCACCGCCCGCCAAAGTGACCAAACAGACGACTGCTGCTTCGAAACAGTTAGTTGCCTCGGCGGACCTTCTTTCGTCCACAGATCTCGCTTCGCTCCAACATGCCGATACCTACTACCGCACAATCATCGATCGGCTCACTGGCTTATCGCGTGCTCCAAACAGCCGCCTAAGACGCCAACTTGCCCGTTTCAAGCTTCAAGAAGGAACACTATGTCGGCAAATTTACCATCCTCTCGGTAACCAATGGGTTCCCGTCATTCCTCGCTCACTTCGTCTGTAAGTTCTACAAGCGTTTCATGACGATGCGACAGCTGGCCACTTAGGGTTCCACAAGACCTATGCCCGCCTCAGGACTCGCTGCTTTTGGCCTGGCCTCTCCACTTCTGTCGCCAAGTACGTCGCTTCCTGCGCGTCATGCCAGCACCGAAAACGTACCACGTCTCTTCCCGCGGGGCCATTGCAACCACTGCTGTGCCCGTCCACTCCCTTTGAATTTGTGGGCATAGACTTATCGGACCTCTTCCGCTTACGCCAGCCGGTCACCGTTGAATTGTTACTGCCGTAGACCACTTTACTCGCTACGCGGAGACGGCAGCTTTTTCATCTGGTGCTACCTCTGAAGTAGCCGATTTTTTTCCTTCGCGCCATTATTTTACGACATTGCGCACCGCGTGTGCAATGGCGCGTGTGACCGTGGCAAGACATTTCTTTCACATGTCCTTGCTGAAGTCTTACAGGCCTCTAACACCATCCACAAGACCACATCAGCGTATCACCCAGAAACTAATGGTCTGACTGAGCGTTTTCACCGAACTTTGTCCGACATGATCTCTATGTACGTGCAACCAGATCACAAAAACTGGGACACAATACATTCCTTTTGTCACGTTCGCATATAACACTGCCATACAGCGTACAACGAATTTCAGCCCTTTTTTTATCG